GTTACTTTCGAGGAAAAACAATACTCTTGATGCATAATAAACAACCAAAACTGCAAATTCAACTCAGAGAGGAAGAATACCACTGTTCTTTTTAAAGATGTTACGGTTGTTCAATGCAGAGAAGCCCTCGACAAAATACTGATCAATGGATAAACAGCTGCGAAATTAACGAAGTAAATCTGATTACTAGTTGCAGATATTAACCAACAAAACATATTAACAACATGAGGCACTTTGTATGTAGGGAAATCAATATCGTTTTACGAACTACATTCTGGGTTGTTCAGACAACCCTAGATTTATGTTGATGCTATTCTAATAATGCTTTATGTCATTCAGGAAGTGTACCTGACTATTGCACTGGGTGGATGTGGGTCATCATGACCTAAGAAACAGAACCTAAGCAGTCTCCATAAAATTATGAACCGACTAGCTTTAGAAAATCGTGATGATTATCAATAAAACCATTATGACTCTCCTTAAAACTCAATGCTTGTAATATGGTGACCAGTTTGGCTTTGGTAATGGTAAGTCATGCAAAATACACTTTATTTGAGGGCTGGTCAGCAAGAAGTAAATTATATTAGGGAAGGTTTGGCTCTGTCAACAGTGCTGTTCGGATGCTAACAGTTTGCTAACCGAGGCCATCTCATTGGTTAGTGCTGCTAAAAAATGTTTTGGTAAGAGTGGTCGCGACACATCATCAAGTACTCGCTCCGTTGACACGCAAATTGGCGTGAGTCAAACTAAAGTGAGTTCGAAAACAGATGACTCGCACCGATCAAAGGAGGGAGAACAATCCCCAAAGAGTTCTGTCCGCACAAAAAACTCAAGGAAAAACGTTTCTTCTGTCCCACGTCCTCAAAATGGTATCCAGAAAGAAACACATAGAAGCCGCAACCGCAAGGCTCGATCAGTTTCCAAAGGGACACCAAACCTGACCTCCCAAGTCATCGAAAACCCTCCGGAATCCCACAGTATGTTTGACGCGACTGTGGTTGCTTCTCCAAGCAACGTTGACGAATGGGTACAGGTTGTGAGGAAGAAACAGAAAAATGATATAAAAGGGAACCCTGCCCCCACAAAAGTAGTCGAAAAACCGAATGCTGATCACAGTAACAGATCAGTCATTTTTCATAGGATCAAGGAGAGCGAAAGCTCCGAACCAAAAACTCGTTTTGAGCATGACATTGACCTGATAAAACAGCTACTTAATCAACTCATGCCTGAAAATATCTCCGGAGTCACCTTGCTAAAGGTGTATAGACTAGGTAGTTTAGCGAACTTGAAGCCTAATCAATCTAGACTGCTTAAAGTAGTTTTCAAATCTTCGAACGAAAGGGACTTAATTTTACAGAATGGACATAAATTAAAGGGTTCGGGAGTTTTTATCCGAAAGGACTTGCCGTTGGCAGACCGTGTAAAAAGACGGGAAGCCGAAAAAGAACTACAAATGAGGTTAGACGCTGGCGAAAAGGACCTGAAAATTGTAAATTTTCGGGTTGTGAGGCTTCGTCAGAGAATGATGGCGAAGCCACTCTGGGTGAAACACGAAGTCACTCAAATAGGCTAAGGATCTGTTACACAAATGCCCGAAGCTTGTTAAATAAGCTATCGGAACTAGGTGAACAGATTGACTCTACAGAGCCAGACATAATCGCAGTCACAGAAACCTGGCTGACACAGTCTATAGATAATATGGAACTCGATTTTGAGGGTTTTACTTTAGTAAGGACCGACAGAATACATAAGCGTAAAGGAGGGGGAGTAGCTCTATTCATTAGGAATGCTATCCCGTTTGTCATCGTTGATAGTGTATCCCATGAAAGTGGGACGTGTGAATTGATTAGTTGCCGCTTGAAATTCAAGGGACAAGAGCTGCTAATTGGTTTGGTCTATCGCAGTCCAAGCTGTGAGGTAAATGATGTCCTGTTAAACAGGCTCAAAAATTGGTCGCGATGTGGTCGATGTCTAATCCTAGGGGACTTTAATGCACCTACGGTAGACTGGAGAAATCTGCGAACCGAATCATCAGATAATTCCTTCGAGCAGGAACTAGTTGACGCGGTTATAACATGTGCCTTAGTGCAACATGTGAAAGAAGCGACTAGGTACGACCCGGACACTGAATCATCCTTGCTAGATCTTATATTAACTCACTATGAGGATGACGTTGCGAACCTCCATTACATGCCACCCTTAGGTAAAAGTGATCATGCAGTTTTAAACTTTGACTTTCATATAACTGTCAATCACGAGCAAGCGTCAACTCAATCCAGACCTAACGTCTGGAAAGCAAGCATACCAGATATCATGCACTCGGCATCACTAGTAGATTGGACAATAGACCCAGCGTCCTCAATTGAAACGGCTTGGAATGCATTCCGAAATCTATATTTAAAAGTTACCGCACCCCACATTCCTTGGACTAGACCAAGGGGGCCGAGAAACTCCCCACCATGGTTCAATAAGGAGGTCCGCATCCTTCTCCGTAAGAGAAGAAATATGTGGGATAGATTTAGGTTACTGGGGTCTGATGAGACAAAATCTCAGTACCGAAAAGCTAGGAATACCTGTGCCTCGACCCTCCGTAAGTCTAGAAAACTGTACGAAGAAAAAATTGTTAAGGAATCCATAGAATGTCCTAAACGCCTGTATTCCTATATAAACCAAAGGACAAAAAGAAGAGGAATTATCCCTGCACTATGGGGAGACAGTACTGCCGCATCATTAGTGGAAGATGACTTTGGTAAGGCTCAAGTGTTCTCAAACTACTTTAGCAACGTATATACCATAGAAGCACCCTTCCCGTCAGCGCATACAAACCCCCCTACACATACACTGGATAGCGTGACCATTAATGAACTCGATGTCTTTGATCTGCTAAATAAGCTTGACATAGGTAAATCCGTGGGGCCCGATGAATTGCATCCTAGGCTACTAAAGGAGTTATCTAACTTCGTTGCGAACCCTTTAAGTATATGCTTTAAGCTATCCGTCACGCAGGGTCGTTTACCAAAAGACTGGAAGAACGCCATAGTAAGTCCTGTCTTCAAAACAGGTACGAAACATAAACCTGAGAATTACCGACCCGTTAGCCTAACTAGTGTGGTTGTAAAAATCTTAGAAAAGATTATTCGGAAAGAGCTGTTTCAGTACCTCGATGTAAACCGAATCCTCTCGGAGAAACAGCACGGTTTCAGAATAGGTTATTCTTGTCTCACTAACTTATTAGTCACTCGAGAAAGCTGGTGCGCTTCTAAGGACCAAAAGTTACCTGTAGACGTGGCTTACATTGATTTCAGCAAAGCTTTTGACAAAGTTCCGCACAACCGGCTGTTATATAAGCTAAAAAATGTCGGAATTGGAGGCAATCTATTGACGTGGATAGAAGACTTCCTTGTTGGGCGCCAACAAAGAGTACGGGTAAACTCAAAATTATCTAGCTGGGAAACTGTGCTTAGTGGAGTGCCCCAGGGTACAGTTTTGGGGCCAGTGCTATTCCTCTTGTATGTAAATGACCTTCCTCGCTTACTATCATCATCGGTCTTGCTATATGCTGACGATGTCAAGATATGGAGGATGATACGATGTAATGGTGATAGCTTAGAACTCCAAAATGACCTGAAGAAATTATCCGAATGGTCTGATACATGGCAGCTGCCGATAAATACTTCCAAGTGTGTTGTGATGCATATCGGTCATCAAGGTTCAGTAACATACACGATGAATAACACTGAGCTACCTGCTGTCCAGACACATAATGACTTAGGAGTCATCGTTAGCCAAGATCTGAAGACTACTGCACACTGCCGTGCAACAGCCGCCAAAGCTTTTAGAACTTTATGGTCAATACGTAGGGCTTTTACTCATGTCGACGCTAAAATATTTTTGACTTTGTATACAGTGTTCGTGCGTCCCAAACTTGAGTACTGCATACAAGCGGCTAGCCCCTGCTTTAAAAAAGACAGTGAGTTTTTAGAAAAGGTCCAGAGAACAGCAACTAAGCTGATTCCCGTAATAGCGAAGCTTCCGTATGATGCTCGACTGGCCAAGCTAAACCTATTCCCTTTGTCATATCGTAGAACTAGAGGCGACTTGATTACAGTTTTCAAATTGCTTAGTAATAAATTTGCACCTGATATGCCCTCATTTTTCTTGTCTTCCAAAACAGAGAATTTACGAGGACACTCCAAAAAAGTTCACAAGCCCAGAACGAATTACTTGTCAGCTGATTATCGACTTTCCCACCGAATCATCAACGAGTGGAATTCATTACCTCAGCACGTGGTTGAAGCTCCATCTGTAGATTCTTTCAAAAGAAAGTTGGATCAACTGAGAGAACACAATTGCCAGGACTAACACAGGCCATCAAGCCTCCTGTCCTTACCAAACTGAAACTGAAACTGAACTTCCAGACACTATGGATATTGGATTCGGAAGACTTAAAGACTGCCAGATACTCACGTAGATAGGCTAGAGCTTTTGTAGTTAGCAGACAACACAGACTAAGAATAGTTTAAAGTTTTTTAAACTAGTGCTTAATGCAGTGTTCCAGGCCACAGTACTGTAGTACATTAGACCTACAAATCTAATGTTCCTTATACTGTACGTCAGTGAACTCTCAAACACTACCAATTCTTGAATACTGTGTTATGCAGGTGAGGTTAGAAACTGAGGACGAACTGCATTCCATTGTATCCATAACTTGTATATACTATCTCTTACATCGTGTAATCCACTGGAGCCTAATGCCAAACGTGTCTGCTTTCATGACTGAATGAATCATCTAACAGGAGACAACAAATGAAGAAACACACTAAAAGAGACTAAGACGGGCCCACTACTAACTGAAATAATTTAACTTGTAAACACGTCCAGAAGAGAAAAGCCGAAGGGTTCATCGATACAAATGACGAAGAAACAATTTGCCGACAAGTTGGCCTTTATAAAATACTACTTTAGTTTTCTTAGTCGTATAGAAACACGCAACAACTTACTCTTAGAGGTAAATTAGCGACAGCTTTATACGGGCTATACACATGTAACGCATCGGTTGAACAATCCACTCTATTCTTCAGATGGTTGCGACAAAATAGAAAGAGCTATCAGTTGACGGCTTTCTTATCTAGAAGCAGTTTATAATCGATACTACCAGGTTGAGAATTGAGCATATTATTTACATGCAATAGGGAAATAATTGTAAATTATAATAAAATATAGTCCTGAGTCCTTAATACATCAAGTTTTCTTTCGAAGGGCTCCCGAGTAGTCACGCGGACCACCTCAACCGGAAACAAATTCCCGGGTTTACTAATCGTGTATAGTAGGAGGTGTGTTTGCGGTACAGTTAACTGTTCTTGTACAGCCAACCTGCTGACCTTGGTGGGCAGATGGACAACCGTCATCAATTGCGATAGGACGGTTGACGGCATATACCTTGACTTCTCATTGGCTTTTGATGGGGTCAATAATATATGTCTTATCGACAAATCGAAATGATTAGTTATTGATTGGCTTGTAGTGGCGTTGGGCCCTAAACACATAATTCTCAAAGCCGAACACGAGACAATTGAGAAAATGAATATTCAACATTTAACGCGGAGAAAAACCCAACAATGGATTAGACGAGAAGGATGGATTCAATTGATTGAATTCATCGGCACGGTCAGGACGCTGGGCCATAGGTTTTCGCGCACATGTTACATGTTGTTTGGGCTTATAGATGTTGTTATTTATCAGGTATCGACAGCATTTTTCCGTCACCATTTATCAATTCAAAGTAGACTGAAATCAGAGTTTTAAGCAAAAATGAGCTATGAAACCATTCGCATTTGATTCACCTCCTTAATTATGGTGGTGTTGAAAATGCGTGTTGGTAGCTGTTTATAAAATGTGTGTTGAAGCACTCAAGAGTTAAACTAATTTGAATATTATATAAGTTGCTAATATGCAGTCATAAACAGTTCTATCCATCACAATTATCATCGTTTTTGACTGCATTGACATATTATTATGTAACGTGTCTGGGAAAGAAAAAATACAAGTAACAATTGACGTTGATAGCCTTTTCTCCCAGCTCTCTGAGCATATACAGGAACTGTGTATAGCATTACTGTGAGTGCCACATTAGTCACTCACATTCCCTTTATAAGTCCAACGATATGTGCTTGTTTTGAGCATGGTAACTAAACCATGCTGTGATTAATACTAAATTATGATGTCTGTTATAAGGTTGACGAATGAATTTCTGAAATCACTGACCAAATTTTAAACAAAGTTTAAATGCATATTGACGGGTAATATCTAAGTAGTGCTTACCAGTCATGTTATTGTTATATTGAAAACAGTGAAATGCTAGTAGTATTATGAAAGTTGTAGTTGGATTTTTCTCAGATTTTATATAACTAATTAAAGTTTTTGATTCAGTTTATTTGGTGTCTGAAGTTTTTGTTAATACCAAATCACTAGATGAAGTTCTAGGACGTTAGAAAATGAAGAGCACTGTAAGACACTTGTAAATACATCCTGTTAGCTGCGATTTCATTTACTTATCGTTTTTGATACTGATAACGAAGTTTAACAGTTTGTTTTGCGACTGATTTGTTGTTTTTCAGAACTTTGTGAAGCTGAGAAGGTCCTTATACGTTTTATGATATGCAATTTATGCCAAGTAATTGAAAGGCTCAAACATTTCCAATAATCAAGTCTATGTCGATGAACAACTTAGCGAATTTATGATTATGGAAGATTATTTGGAGAAATAATCTACAAATTGACGATTACTGTGTTTTATGTTGACTACTGCCACGTTCGTTCATATAATGACTCATGATCTTAATCATTGAAATTACTACAATCTCCACAAAACCCCTTCTGATATAATGAATTATTTAAATATAAATATAACAACTATACAGTCTTTTGCATCATAAATGTCTTGAGTATGTAGAATTATAGTCTAGTTCGGTACTAATATTACTTTGATAACGGACCTAGTCTCAAAACGGTGAATTTGTTATGTTGTGATCGCTTAATCGGTAAGATCAAACATCACTATTCACACATACTCGTCATATCGTCACAGTTATCAATGATACTTAGTACTTTTAAAGAACACGTTTGGGCTGGGGATAGAATAATATATTCAGTGTGGATAGTAATAAGTATCGATTCGAATATACTGTCATAGTGAATAGTTATATATACAATGCAACGTTCTAGCGAAACTTCTACACTGATGCAGTACAACAAATTGTCATAAGAAAACGGATACTTATAAGGCAAACACTTATTTATTCCTAATTCCCACAAAGTTACTCGTTAACATGATTGGTATAACTCCACATGAAACTACGAAGAAGACGAAAGTAAAAATTGTGCAAAAGTTTGTTGATACATCATAACTACTGGCAAAGGATGAATGATATATGAAGCGGAAAT